TCAGTTTTCATTCAAATTTGGCACATTTTTTATACATGTTAGGATACATGTCCATGACAATTTGTTTCAAAATCGGATCAAAGATGGCAGATTGACAGCCATCTGACTTTTTGGCATTACTACTATATTTCCAAGATTTATGTACCATTTTCATTCATATTTGGCACATACATCATACATGTCACCTTTGTTTCATAATCAGATCAAAGATAGCCGCATAACGGCTGTTTTTATTTGTGGCCATATTACTATATCCCTGTCACCCATGTATCATTTTCATTGATATTTAGCATGTCGATTCAATTTGCAATTTGATCAAATGTTTTCACTTGTGATCTGTTTTTCTTTGCAACACATGTTCGAATTTGATGTAAATAAACAATCTGTTGTATATACCACTTGGGACTCAAGTTTCAAGGACATGCTCACGACAACCCCTCCACTTTAACATGACGAGCACAACGAGAACTTTCAAAAATTTAACAGGGACTGTGTCATTTTTAATGACTTGTTTACTTCACCTTGCATGTCACTTCACCCACACAGCAGCAGTTTTTTTGACTCCCATGTGCGAAGCACAAAATGGGAGTCTTTGCAGTTAGTGTGTCTGTATGTCTGTATGTGTGTATGTGTGTGTGTATGTGTATGTGTGTATGTGTGTCCGACTGTTCCACTGCTATCTCAAGAACCATACATCGGTTTTTGATGAAACTTGGTGCATAGATGCTCTGGGCCAATGCGCAGATTTGATTAGGTTTTGGTAAAAATCCATGCTCGTTAATTACCTAATTTGCATGATAATTAGCTAATTTTTAGCTGTTCTATGACTGTTCCACTGATATCTAAAGAACCACTCATTGGATTTTGATGAAACTTGGTACATAGATGCTCTGAACATATGCGCAGATTTGATTAATTTTTGGTAAAAATCCGTGCATATTAATTACCTAATTTGCATGATAATTAGCTATTTTTTAGTGGTTCCATGACTGTTCCACTGATATCTAAACAACCACTCATTGGATTTTGATGAAACTTGGTACATAGATGCTCTGAACTAATGCTAGGTTTTGATTAGTTTTTGGTAATAATCCGTGGATACTAATTACCTAATTTGCATAATGATTAGTCAATTTTCGGTTTTTCCACTGATATCTCAAGTACTAATCATCACATTTCAATGAAACTTGGTACATAGATGTCATACGACACTGCACAGACCTGATAGTTTTATGGTAATATCA